CCAACATTGAAGATTATGCAGTGATGTTGTGTGATAACAACCAAATTGTCAAATAAGTACAACTGGGAAGAAAAACCAAAAGAACTGCAGGTGCTGTTAATCAAGAACAAAAACAAAAGTTGCTGGAAAAGCTCAGCAGGTTGGCAGCATCTGTGAAGAAAAATCAGAGTTAAAGTTTTGAGTCCAGTGACCCTTCCTCAGGATAAACCCCAGGATCCTATAAACCTTCTTAACAACTGTTTTAACTTGTCTGGCCACCTTCAGAGAATCATCCGTTAACCCCAAGGTCCCTCTGCTCCTGTACTCCCCTCAAAGTTGTACCATTGAGTCTGTGCTGTGTCTTCATGTTTCACAGATACTGGCAGACCTGCTGAGCTTTTCCAGCAACTTCTGTTTTTGCAACTGAGAACAATGTGTACCTCTCAAGGTGGGTACACAATCAGCAGATCAAGGCAAGTTGCCAAACTTCCAAAGCATATGTTGAAGTTTGAAATGTTAATTAAACTCTGTATTATCTGTTTGGGACAAGATTTTATCCTTTTTTAAAAGGGACATGTTGTTTTATGGCTTGCAATTGGTATATCATTATTCTTTTTAAAAATGTACTCATGGTATCATCACTATCATAGCATGTGGCCTGAGGGCATAAAGGTCTCCTATTCATGAAAACAAGCAAATTCCTATGCAGTTTCCTTCTGGGATTTTCAATATTTTCAGAGGAACAAGGTGGAAAATCAGCGGTGGTGAAGAACCAAAATAAATAAAAGTGTAGGAAACCATCCAGCATAGAGTTCATTCTTTTCAATGGAACATACATAATTTCCACTAGCTGTCAGACTCTTGCAGTGAAGGCAAACAACTACAAATAATTTTTTCAATTTCTGCCAGGACTGAAGCACAAAGTCTGCCAAAAAGCCAATCTATCAAAGGTTACAGTTCAACTATCAGTTTGATAGATGGCGTTTCCAATAGCCTCAGCAGAATTGGTGCCTTAATGTATCTGATTTTCATACCAGTTCTGAAAGGCTTAATTTCTATTTTATAAGCTAATATTTGCCAGGCTTTTGTCAAATTACTTTTACTGCACATCTATTAATATTTATTCACTGTGTAGAAAACCCATTTATTCTAAACTTTGATCTCGCTGCAATTGGATCCAGGTGTCCTCCAGTTCAATGCTCCTAGTTTAAATAATATAGTCACATCCATATTACCAATGCAGCAATTTAGTAACCCGAGGCCAATGAAACAGCAGTCTACGCTTTACAAATTTTTTAATACTGTCTTCTTATTCTGTAGAGATCAGCGCATTTTAAGACAATGGCCCCATGAGGTAATTTGCACTCCCAAACATCAACTAAAATAGAATAAAAACACACTGTCATTATGATTCTTTATGACTAATTTATTTTAAAGAAATAGAGCAAATCGCAAGATTCCGTATTAAATGAAAAGGCAATTTTCACAACTTTTACAACTAGAAACTTTACTATTCATAAAATATATTTCTGACTTTACGTCCGAGGAGGTGGTTGAGGCGGCTACAATTACAATATTTAAAAGGTATCTGGATAGATACGTGAATAGGAATGGTTTTGAGGGAAATGGACCAAATGCTGGCAAATAGGACTAGATCAGTTTAGGGGGCGGCACGGTGGCTCTGTGGTTAGCACTGCTGCCTCACAGTGCCAGGAACCCGGGTTCGATTCTGCCCTCGGGTGACTGTCTGTGTGAAGTTTGCACATTCTCCCCGTGTCTGCATGCGTTTCCTCTGGGTGCTCTGGTTTCCTTCCACAGTCCAAAGATGTGCAGGCTAGGTGGATTGGCCATGCTAAATTGCCCGTAGTGTTCAGGGATGTGTATGTTAGGTGGGTTATTGGGGGATGGGTCTGGCTGGGATGCTCTGAGGGTCGGTGTAGACTTGTTGGGCCAAAGGGCCTGTTTCCACACTGTAGGGATTCTATGATCTATGATACCTGTTCGGCACAGACAATTTGGACTAAAGGGTCTATTTCCATGCTTTATAACTCCATGACTCTGTTTCACGTAACAAGCAATTATAGTTATAGCTCTCAATAGATGAGATATTTGAAAGGAAAAAGTGAATGAAATGATAGTATTTTACATTCCAGAGTATGCATATTTTAAATTAAATTCTTGACACACGGGAAACAATTAAGACAGAAAGAATGAACCAGAGAGTATATGCTCGTGCAGCCCAATGTTTTAAGGGTTCAAATGATAACCTGCACGATTATCTAAAACCTTATGCCATTCAAGTACAGCTCCCCACCCCTCTTTGTGGTCCTCTGCCCCTCATGCCCATTCACTCTGTAGCCCAAGTAGGTCATGTAGAGGGACTGGAACACATTCTTCCCTTTTTAGGCTTAGGCTTGAGTTTGCGCAAGACCTTGGCTAGACTGAGACCTATACCAGGGAGCCTTTACAGATTAAGGGTACAGCTTCAGTTCCGGTCTCTCATGAAAAACAGCTGGTTCAGTTACCACTGATTATAGTAAAAGGCACAGGCCCAAACTTGAAAGGGCAAAATTGGTTGTGGGAGATTCACTTGGATTAGCTCAACATTTTTCAACTAAAAAATGGCTGCCTGATTGAAGCATGTTTTTGAAGAAACTCGCAACTGTCATCTTTGAGTTGGGGTAAACATTTCTTAGACCATTCCTTTGTTTGGGAAGCTTGACTTGTTTGACCCTGCCATTGAGAACTGGGCCCAGTATGTGGAAAGAATGTGTTATTTTTTCTGGGCAAACGATATTGTGGCAGATGAAAACTAACAAGTAATTCTCCTGACGGCCTGCAGAGCTGCAGCTTTTCCTGTTATTAGGAGCCTAACTTTCCCCAAGGCATCAGACATTAAAACCTTTCAAGAATTGATGGACATGGTCAAGGAAAATTATGACCCCAAGATTCCTCTAATTCTGAGATAGTATCGTTTTTACTTGGCAATTCAAGAACCAGGGGAATACGTATAAGGATTTTTAAGAGGACTGGCAGAAGCCTGACTTTAACCCTTAATGAGGTGCCTGGAGACCATTTGGTATGTGGGATTAATGATGTAACTATGCAAAAATGCCTACTAGCTGAAGCCCAACTGGATTTCAAACAGGCACTACGACTTTATCATTGGAAAATGTGGCAAGTGGAGCATATGAGTTGCAGGGTATTCAACGGACGTGGACAGCCTTGCCAGTCTGACTGAGCTTGGGGAACATCACCTGAGTGAAGGCAATCGCATAGCCTCATTCAGGACACCAAAACAAAACAAAGCCTCAGCTAAATGGTTAAAATTTAGGATCCGGGCCAGCAAGCCACAATAGATGCTGCTGGTGTACAAGACAGCCAAACAATGGTAATGCACCTAAAGTGAGTAAGATAATTCATAGGCGGTGTCCAGGAGGATATCCAGGAGAATTCAAACCCTGGCAAGTCCACCTACATCTGGTTTGGAATAGTTAAATTGCGTAGCAATATCAAAATCAGAGCCAATCAAAATAAACTTCTGGTTAAATGATCATTCAGTTCTAATAGAGGTTGATACCTGTGCAGCTGTATCAGTGATTGCAGTCTTTAACAAAATTCACTCTGAACTGACAGCCCTTAAGTTCGTACAAGACCTTGGCTAGACTGAGAACTTTTACAGATTGAGGGTCCAACTTTGGTTCTGGTCTCTTATGAAAAGTAGCTGGTTTAGTTATTACTGATTGTAGTAAAAGGCTCTGTCCAAGCTGATGGGGCAAAATTGGTTGCAAGGGATTCAAGTAGATTAGCTCAACATTTTTTCAATTAGAAAATGGCTTCCACATATTTAATTTGGACTTCACTTACCCCCTCAGCCTTCCTGAAAGACTGCCTATCAGAGGAGTCAAGGCCACCTTGCATGTTGACCAGGAAGCAATTCCACGATTCTGTAAAGTCTGTTAGTCTGTAAAGTGCCATTTGCCTTGCAGGTAAAAGTAGAAGCAGAAAACAAAAGGCTGGAAAGTGAAGGAATCATCATCACTACTCCAGTTTATGGAATGGGCAGCATCGGTTGTACTGATTTTGAAGTCTGAGATAACTAAAAGTTTTATCAGTTCCCTCAGTATACCAGAGGTGACATCCCAGGTCTGACAATGCATTTTAGGTGTGAGGCCTTGTTTACAATCTGACAATGTATCAACTTGTCAGACTCGTTTTATTTCCAAAGTAGGAATTTATAAAATGCCACATTGACTATGTACAAATTGTGTGCTTTTTGAACAAAATAGTATGTATCTGCAATTACAAATCTGCAAATTGAACTGATAAAGCCTTTAGTTATTTCAGGGCAGTGACTTGAAAGAAATTCAGAAATTTGCATATTAATCCTTTCTAACTGATTAAAGATTTAACAGCCATCTTAGGTTTGTTCAACACATTCGCATCAGTTCTATGACCCTTTGATCTTTTGCTTATAAATTCTGTGTCTGATGCCACCTCACTCACTGATACCTGAAGAAGGAGTGAGACTCTTAAAAGTTTGTGCCTTCAGATAAACTGGTTGGACTATAACCTGGCGTCGGACACCTGCACCTCCACATCATCCTCCCAAATCAATATCTCCTCCTGCCTTCTGTACTTCCCACTCACTTACCAGGGACACCTCAGCACCTCTTTTGCTCATATATCACCACTAACTGCTCTTCCATCAATTTTCACTATACTCTAACCCTTCCTTTGCTTCACTACACCATAAATTGGCCCACCATCCAGGACAAGACAGCCAAGATCGGCACATTGTGTGAGGAGTCTGTAGGTGGATGTCCAGCTCCTCCTCCTGTTTGAGGAGAAATGTCTCAATCTTGCTGGAGAAGAGCATGTCAAAATGAAGGGACCTGCAAGGCCAACCAACCCAGTATGCTTCTTGGTGCTGTTGGCCAGGGCTGAGCTGCTGAGTGTGATTTCTTTATTACAGCACAAGTTGTTACCTTCTTATACAACTCATTTCTTCTCCTATTCAGGTGCTAGCAGTGGACCACTGAACCTACAACAGAAATGGAGACCCTCAATTCCAACTCCACCTTGAGGAGGAAGTCACCGAACCCTCAGAGGATGTACCAGGAAGGCTCTCAACTCCACAGTCCAATCAGGAGATTTCAACAGAGTTACATTCACAGTTGATAGTACACCAGTCATGCTTTGTTGCATTTTTGCAGAAGTGATCCTGACTTCCCCTCTTTTGTCAATTACCACATTATAATCAACCAACAAGCATTAGTGAGTAAAATTATGGACTTTTCTCATGTAGTTGTTAAAATTATAAACTCAATTCCAGCAAGAGCCCTCTTGCATCCCTTGACTAAATCTTTGCTCATCAAATGTGATGCTGCCTACGGTGAACTAGTCCTCTTGGCTGATTTGAGGTAGTTAAGTCGAGCGAAGGTCGTGATTTTTAGATCTAATTCCTGAAATTGTCACTTTTCTAAAATCAAGAAATTTTATGTGTACATTGAGCTGTCAGACAATGCATGGTTACTTGACTTCAGGTTCCTTACAAATGTAACTTTAAAACTGGACAAGCTGAGCTGTGAACTACAGAGAAAGATTTAGTACGTGGGATCAGTGCTGTGAATGCATTCAAATTGAAGCAGGGTCTGTGATTTTTCCAATTAAAAAATAGAACACTTCAACATTACATGCATCTAGAGAAAATACAACGAAAAATCAAAAGAAAGGTAAAGACTTAGAGACCCAAGTAATGGTTCCAGTCCCCAGAACAATACTCAGACTCCACCTTATCTCAGACCATCGGAAGCATTACACACTACAAGAAGCATGCTGCTCTGTTTAAATTAATAGCTTAATGTCAGCCCACAGACTGATGCACCTGAGAGGCATAGTTATTGCATCTAATACTAAGCTGCAATAAACATCTGTTGCATTCTTGAATTTTCTGGAAGAGGTTTGTTATGAGGGATGACATAAGCATTAGTGCATCAGGTAATCTATCCTGCTGCAGTCCATCATCCAGGACTGACTGTGACCGACTCCCCTGGACTGACCATGGCCTGTTCCTAAACTGCAAGGATACAGATCTCTAGACTCTGGCAGGACCAAGAACCTGACTTATTGTGGCTAATCCCCTGGACTGGAATTGGATGACCCTCTTGTCATGGGACCCCCTGGATATCTATAGCCCTCCTTGACCCCACTGAAGACTGCTCTCCTTTAACTTTCAAACATGGCTATTTTCTTGACAACTTGCTTGGTAATATTAGCAGTTGACTGATTGACGTGAGAATGCTTTCTTTCCACTTGCTTCTGCGACAGATAACCCCACTGCACTAGCACCATTCCAAGCATGGCACTCTAGAAGTACAGGGAGTAGACCGTTCATCATTTTCAGCAGCTAAGTCTTTCTCTTGCACTAACATGAGTGGTGTTACAGAGCACAATTTTGAGTCCATTATTTTAATATTGATTTCAAAGTTAATTGTTTCAGATGTAATTTACGATAGTTTATAATTATACAACAGATTCCAATTATAAAGCACCTTTAATGTTGTGAAGCATCCCACAGGTCAGTTATGGGATAAAATCTGACACTGAGCCGCGGCGGAAGACATTAGTGCAGACTTGGTAGGTTTTAAGGTGCCAATTAAAGGAGAACAGAGAGATAGCAAGGCAGACAGCTTTTGGGAGGGAATTACAAAGATTAAACACTCAACAATCGAAGGGACCAATGCTGAAGTGATTAAAATTGGGGATGCTCAAAAGGTCAGGATTAGAGGAGCGCAGAAACCTCGGAGCATTATAGGATGGAAGATAGGGAGGCTTGAGTTTGTGAAACAAGGATTTGAAAACAAGGATTGAAAATTTTAAAATTGACCTAAAACAGGAAAACACAAAAACAGAAATTGCTGGCAAAACTCAGCAGCTGGGCAGCATGTATGGGAGAAAGCAGAGTTAACATTTTGAGTCCGGTGACTCTGAAGAAGTTCTGTTCGTTCTACTAGTTCTACTTTTATTGATATACATATATGTGAGAAGGATATATGTATATATACTTGAAAAGTACCTTAGCTTGTGAAGAATGAAATTAACCACAATATGCAAGCTAAATCAATGAGATATTTCAAGCTGCTAACATAATTTTAATGACAAAGTATTATTAACTGAAAAATGCCTCAATCAGGATGCGTGACACCCACGCTGCATTTTTAACATTTGTCTGTATTGGTGCCCATCTCAACATGCCCACCAGATGGCAGAAGAACACCTTACCATTATTTCCCATCTCCCTTTCATGCTGTGATGTGGAGGTGCCCGGTGTTGGACTGGGGTGAACAAGGTCAGAAATTACACGGCACCTGGTTACCCTTCATCATCCAGTACTTCCTGGGAGTGGAGAAACTACGCCATGTTCTTCGCAGCCTTCAACACATTATCGATCACGATGAGCACCTTGCCAAGATCTTTCCCACGCCTCCACTTCTCTCCTTCAAACAACCACCAAACCTTAAACAGATTTCACAGCAAACTACTCAGCCTTCAGGACAATATTGATTACAACACTATACAACCCTGTCATGGCAACCTCTGCAAGACATGTCAAATCTTTGACATGGACACTACCATCACATTGTCCATCTCATACACTGCAAGGCATGGTATATTGACGAAACCATGCAGACACTATGACAACGGATGAATACACACTGTGCACCATTCGCCAAACAGGGATGTCCCCTCCAAGTTGGGGAACACTTCAGTGGTCAAGGACATTTGGCCTCGGATCTTGGGGCAAACGTTACCCAAGGTGGACTTTGGGATACACAATAATGCAGAGTCACCGAGCAGAGGCTGATAGCCAAGTTCGGTACCCATGAGGACAGCCTCAACCAGGATCTTGGGTTCATGTCACACTACAGCTGATGCCACCACACTATACACTGTCTCACACACACATACATACACACACACTCAGTCACTCAAACACACACACAGACATCCTCACACAGATGCTCTCATATACACACTGTCTCTCAAGCACACACATACACTCTCTCCCTCGCACACGTAGGCACACACACATTCTCGCTCTCCTCACACACACACACACACTCTCCTGTATGCACACATACTCTCTCTCTCTCCCTCACAGTCTCCCTCACACACACGCATACACACTGTCTCCCTCACACACATGAATACACACTATCTCCCTCACACACACACTCTCTCACACACGTGCGCGCACTCTCTCTCTCTCCCTCACACACACAGTCTCTCCATCACACACATACACTCTCTCTCCCGCACACATACACTTTCTCTCCTACACACACTCTTTCTCTATCTCTCTCTCTCTCTCCCACACACACACAGTGTCCCCCTGTCTCTCACACACTCTCTCCCTCACACTCACTGTCTCCCTCACACATACACATACACACTGTCTCCCTCACATACACACTCTCACTCTCTCTCTCTCCCTCCTGCCTTACACACACACACACGAACACTCTCTCTCTCCCTCACACACACATGTAAATCTATGGGGTAAATTTGTATTTGCAGATCCATTCTATTTTGTTCAAAAAGCACACAATTTATAGACAGTCAGTCAATGTGGCGTTTTTATAAATTCCTACTTTAGAAATAAAACCAGTCCAACTCCAAACCGAAACGCAAACAGATTCTAAACAAGGCCTCACACCTAACATGTCTGGCCTAAAATGTCACCTCTCCTTTACATTGATAAAACCATTAGTTCTCTCAGGAAAGTGACTTGGAAGAAATTCAAGGATTTACATATACATATTAATTAAAACCTTCTAACTAATTAAAGACTTAACAGCATCCTAGGTTTGTTTAATACCTTTGATCTTTTACTTATAAATTCTGTACCTGATGCTACCTCTCTCACTAACACCTGAAGAAGGAGTGGGGCTCCGAAAGCTTGTGTTTTCAAATAAACCTGTTGTACTGTAACCTGGTGTTGTGTGATTTCTGACTCTTTCATACTATTAGTGGGAAAATCAATCTATAATGCTGATAAATCATCCAATAATGAAGGGGAAAAATGCAGCACCTACTTCGAGTACCATCCATACTTAGAGGACCTTTGTGATATTGAATCTCAGAATCACAGAAATGTTATGGCTCACGAGACCATTCAGCCCATCATTTCTCCTGTGGCTCTTTAAGTGAACATCATTTTCGAGTGTCAATCTCCTGGTTTTCCCCCATGCCCTTGCACGCTATTTTTATCCAAATAAAAGTGAGGCTCTTGAATGCCTCACTTGAACCTGCCTCCACCATATTTCCAGGTAGTGCATTCTATAACCTAACGACACACCGAGTGAAAGGTTTTTCTTGCATCACATTTGCCCCTTTTGCAAATCACTTTAAATCTATGTCCTCACATTCTTGTTTCTTTTACAAGCAGGAAGTTTCTCCCTATCTACCCTATCAAACCTGCTCATGATTTTGACTGCCTCTATTAGATCCCCTCTCAGCTTTCTTCTTCCCAAGGAAAATAGTCCCAACTTCTTCAATCTACCCTCACAACTGAAAATTCTCATCCCTTGAACCGTTCTTGTAAATCACTTCTGCACTCACTCCAATGTGTTCACATCCTTCCTGTGGTGCCCATAACCGAACATAATACTCAAGCTGAGGACTAACATGAACCTTGTATAAGTTCAACATCACTTCCTTGCTCTTGGAATCTATGCCCCTCTTAATATAGTCAAGGACACTGTGAGCTTTATTTACTGCTCTCTGTACCTGTCCTGTCATTTTTAACGATCTCTGCATATATACACCCAGGTCCCTCTGCTCCTGTACCCCCTTTAGAATGGTACCTCCAATTTAAATTATCTTCCAGTGTTCTTCTGACCAAAGAACATCACCTCATGTCTCTGCATTGAACGCAATCTGCCACCTGTCTACCCATTTCACTAAATGGACTATGTTCTTTTGGAGCTCCACACTGTTCTCTTCACAGTTTATAATCCTTCCAAGTTTTGTATCATCTGCAAACTTTGGCATTGATCTCTTCTCAATAAGATCTGGATCGTTAAAATATATCAGTTAAAGCAAGGGTTCCAATACTGACCTTGGGGAGCTCCACATGACCTGAAAAATATCCATTTCCTATCCCTTTATGTTTTCTATCCCTCAGCAAATTTTGTATTCACCTTGCTATTGTCCATCTTATTCCATGGCATATAACTTTTCTCACAAGTCTATTGTGTGGCACTGCATCAAAGGCCTTCTAGAAGTCAATGTAAACCTCATCAATGGCATTACCCTCATCGAAAAACTCCAGCAAGTTAGTTAAACATGATTTCCCCTTTAAAAGTCCATGCTGATTCTTCCTAATCAACCCACCTTTTTCTGTGCAATTGCTAATTCTATCCCAATTAGTTGTTTTTAAAAGCTTCCCACAACTAAATCTGTGGTGGCAGGGTGGCTCAGTGGTTAGCACTGCTGCCTCACAGCACCAGGAACCTGGGTTCGATTCCACCCTCGGGTGACTGTGTGTGGAGTTTGCACATTCTCCCTGTGTCTGCGTGGGTTTCATCTAGGTGCTCTCATCTCCTCCCACAGTCCAAAGATGTGCAGGTTAGGTAGATTGACCATGCTAAATTGCCCCATAGTGTCCAGGGGTGTGTAAATTAGG